AATGTCAGGATTGGGTTTTCTTCAGTTGTATGGAGCTTTGAGTGAAGTTGCATCAGCCCCTCCCCACACTGTTGCTGTTGTCGATCAATGAAGATTTTTCTCTAAAAAGAACACATCTACACAAAAGAGTTAACAGGGATATTTACTTGAAAATTAAAACTATATTTAGCAAGTGCTGAATATTTTTGCTCCACAAATTAATGTTATGCACACAAAAATATGGAATCCTAACTCTAATTTTCAAAACAAAGTAGTTTTTGTTCTATAAAAACGTAAATAATCTTATGAAAACTCAGCTCTTTGCTTCCTCTGGTCATCTTGATCTGATTTCAAAGTGTGCTACATAATCTGAAACATCAATACTGACAAAAAATAAATAAATGTTTGAGCAGCCAAACTTTTTGACAGCCTGAATTTAATCATGATTCCTTAAAAAGTCTTCCATGTAACTGGATCAGGTTAAATATCATCAATTATTACTTCTTTTTCATTGTAAAACTGTGAAACTGGTATTTTTTTTTTCCCCTCAAGTTCGTCATGAAAGTTTCGTGCCAGACCAGTTGTGCTGCTAACATGTGAACAGCTTACATCAGTAAACGCCCATTTCCTCTGCAGATATGCCATTTCTATGGCGAGGAAGATCGGCGCTCGCGTCTACGCCCTGCCTGAGGACCTGGTGGAGGTCAAGCCAAAAATGGTGATGACCGTCTTTGCCTGCTTGATGGGACGAGGGATGAAACGCGCTTAAGCTCGGATCACAGGGACACTTAACACTTCCCCTCACCTGCCCCCCCCAAAAAAAACAATTAGCATTTTGAAAGAGCTTCCTCAACCGAAGAAATGAAGATTTGTTTTGGTTTTGTTTTTGGGGTTTTTTGCCTTAAAATGAGTCAGAATCATACACTTGCATGCATCCTCTACCTCTTCTCATACACAGAGGTGTTTTCTGAAGGATCCTTTTTATTGAAGGTGAAGCTTCAGGATGGAAAATCTCCAGAGGCGACTCTTATCAACCTGCTACGCTCATTTATAAGAATGCTGTTTTTTTTGTTTTTGTTTTTTTTCCTCCCCCAATACAAATATGCATAATGTACCGGCTGCAAGGTTGTTTACATATTTCTGCCATGGCTGATAATTCAATTATCTCCTCGACCAAGCAACAGACATTCCTGAGTGCTTTACCTTTCAATATATGCATCAGAAGGCCAAAAGTAAGTCAGAGAGGTTTAAAGTTCGGGTGGAGGACACTTTAAAAGAAGAAAAAAGAGGCGCAAACATGTTCTCTTACTCGATGACGTGCGAGTGTTTCAGTAGGGACTCCACGGACGTCTACATATCAGAAAACAGAAGCCTTGAGGTCAGTTTGTGGTGATGACCTGTGGGAGGAAATGCTGTTTGTATTCCCTCGTAATCTCGTTTTCTTTTTCTTGGGATTATCATGCAACATGCTGTAAATGCTGTCTTTAAGGATGTCTTGATTTGTGTTGCATTGGGAATTTTTAGCTTTGTATCACTGTGAGTCCATTCGATGGTGAGCAGGCTGACTTGACTCTCCTGGCTTCATGCAGTGCCTTCAACTATCAAAAATGATTTGTATTTGTGCTTCAAGGGTTTCTCTTTGTTTTCTGCTCATATTAAACATTACCAAATACAGTTACTTCATTCCGAGTAGCTTGACGATGTGCTATGACGATGGCCAAATTGAATTTGGTCTTTTGTTCATGTCTATTCTCCCAAGTGCTTTACATGTAACAATAAACATGACTTTGAAAACAGCTGATGTGTGTGGTCTTTGCTGTTTGCTTTTAAAGAGATTTTGTGATAAGTTGTGGCAGAACTCTAAAGTGAAACTTGGTTTGTATCATACTCAGAATAAATTATATAATTTTCTGAAATGGTAACATTTGTAAAGCTCAGATATGTATAAATAAATAGTCAGGGACTTTTTTACCCACTGCATTTCACAAAGGAAATCCTTTTTGAATTCTTTTTGAGTCTCCAATTATTTCGACCCCCAGTGGATTTAAATGTATTTTCTGACAAAGACTTATTTAAAACTTACCCCTATTAAATGTGACTCGTCTTGTGCTGAGCTGAAAAACAAATCTGTCGAAAAATATGAAATTATGTAAATGTGGACACAATCGAGTATTTTTTTTTCCTCCACCACATTTTCTTTTACTCTCTGCATTGTCACACTTATTCAAATCCATCAGATTATGAGAACATAATCTGATTTAATTTCAGATTTAGTTCATAAACTTTAGATTTCTGTTCATAAAGTCATTCTTTTGTTAACTTTGCTTGCACTCAGCAATGCTGAGTCCATCTTCATCTGGAGCTTTCTAAAAGGACACCTGAGTGTTTTGGATCTGTTTTGATCATTAGAACTGTTCATGCTTATCTGTAGAGCATGATGCTGCCACTGCCGTGCTTCACTGCCGGTAAGGTGTTGTTTTTGGTGATGTTTTTTTTCTCTGTGCTAAATTTTTCTTTTGGAAAATGAATTCTTATCGTCAATCCATTCTTGATGGTCTGATACGAAACGCATTGGTGGCTCTTCAGGGTATGAACAGAGACGCGTCAGCGCAACTTTTATGATTCAACGGTTTACCTCATTTTCCTTTTACTACTTCTCCTTCCTCTTATCTCGGTTTCTGTTGCTGTCCTTCCCTCTTTTTCATGAAACCTGTCATCTGTCTGACAAAGCAAACTGTGAGCAAGAGTAATTGTGTGTTTGATCTGTTGTCTTTTCCCAGTGCAGCAGGGGAGAGCCGACGAGGCGGAGAGCAGGACGCTGTTCACTGACTCGGATCTCGGACGCGTGTGAATTCCTCTGGGCTTCGCTCCTTGTGTGGCCTCCATCGTCCGTGCTTTATCGTCTCGATTCTGTTCAGATGATATTTGGAGCTAAAGTTCCAAATGTCTGCTGAAGAAGAGCTTTGTACATTGTTGCTTAGGAAAGGGTTCAGTAAATGTTTCCCACAGAGGCAACGCTCAGGTGTAACAGCACCGTCAGATAGATGGTTTCACAAAGCAACATTTTAAGTGTTAAGTGTATAAAAAGATTAGTAATAATATATTGTACATGATTATAGCATGAAGATAGAACTATCATATATTTTATCAACTGTTCAAAATAGTATGTATAGCAAATGTTTATTTTTTTAAAGCATAATTTACAGTACAGAGATTTCCCATAAGAGCAGAATTTTTTTTTTCAATAAAAAATAAAAACATTTAACTGCTAGATCATTGGTTCAGAACCACTTTATTTTAATTAATTGAAAATTTCCCCCAAATAATTAGCTTTTTTTCTGGATTGACTTTATGCTTAACACAAAAAAATCTCGTTTGGTTTTATTTCCCTTCGTCTTATTGGAACAGCGTGTATAAAATCATTTACATTTCTATACCACTCTATCATTCATGATCTTGTTCATAAACATGTATTCATAGTTTATATTTTTAAAAATCCCTGATGTAATTCAGAATTTCCACTTTAAATAAGTAAACCTGCCTCAAAGTTGGCCCACACCATGATACTGCCGTCACCAGTTTAAATTGCATCATATTTTTGTTTTTATATATTATTTTAATTTTTCAGATATAATTCTTACATGGAGGACTCAGAGAGTACTCTGTTAAAACTTAGTATGTTTTTTTTAATAAATCAGCATTTATTAGATATTTAATGAGCTTTTCACATCAAGGGACTTTGCCCATTGTTCTTGGTAAAATAGATCCAGTTCAGCCAGAATGCATAGAGACTGTGAATGGGTAATATTTTTCAAGTCTTCCTAATGGATTCTCAACTCTGAACTTGAACTAGACCATTTCAACTTCTCACTTTACTTCGATCTGAACCGTTTCGTAGCAGGGCCGATCGGCTCCATCCACCCTCCTTTATCTACTCTGATCAGCTTGTCTGCTGCCGCTGAAGAAAAGCATCCCTACAGCATGATGCTGCCACCACCATGTTTTACAATTCAGATGGTTAGTCTATCCATGCACTTAAACACCTCGAGCAAACAATTCTGTAAAGAAAAGAAGAAAAAGAAATAGATATTTTTGCAAAAAAATAAAATAAAAAAAATTTGCATTTCTTGCATTTTTGTGTGTGTTTGTTTTTTGACTAAATCTGGAACGGATCCAGATTTTTTGAAAATGCATATTTGCCCCAAAGACGTCTCGCATCCAGCTCTGGAAGCCCCGCCCCGCCTTTACCTCCTCGCCTACCTGTGTACTCTCATCCGAGGACGAGCGCAGCCACGTGCTCACACCTCTGACTGGTTCACCATTCAAAGCGTCACAGAAAACTACTTCAAAAAACACTTCCGGCTGGGTTTTAGGAGTGTTTTCATTCGCTCGCAGCTTTGAGGATGGATCCGCTTTGCTCTACCTGCGTGACGGGGTCTTCAAGTAACTAAAGGAAAGCTAAGGTAAGAGTCAGTGCGCGCGCGCACGTGTGTGTGTGTGTGTGTGTGTGTGTGTGTGTGTGTGTGTGTGTGTGTGTGTGTGTGTGTGTGTGTGTGTGTGACTGCTTTGCATCTTTGTGACATCTTTGCATAGATGTCACAAAAAGTCCGAATTCATCCGAATTTATCTCCAGCTTCACAAACAGGAGATATTTCAAGAAGCTTCTATTCGCGAGCAGCGACTCGCTCTTTTAAAGCTGAGTTTGGTTGAGTGGCAACTTCTGCGTCAACTTCTGGGGGGTTCAAACCCGGCTGAACCTGAACCTGTGATGTAACGATTCAAATGAAGCCACCGTTTGCGCGCGCACTCGGCGTTGCTGGTTTCCTGAGTGATGGAGGTCCTGAGGGAGAGCCGCTGATAGGCTCGCTCAGCTGGAGAGGTTCAGTCCGACCGAAGCCGTGTTTTCGTTAATGATCCACCAATTAGTCACACAGCGGTAGCAGTTGTCTGAACAGCTACTCCGTCTGTCTGCGCCGCAGGGTGGAGATGCGTTACGCGCCGCAACATGTGGCCGGTAGGGGGAATGAAGTGCTTCCACAGGGGCTGCTGGTGGAGAGAGGCTTGGAAAATCTCACCTGAACTCTCCAGAAGGTTCGGCTTCGGCTCGCGACTTTTATGCCCGGATATTTTCTTGTGGTTCGTTGAAACCAAGCAGACGGACTATCGGTGCAACGTGTTTGTTTTTATGAGAAAATGCCCACGTCAAAACAAACATCCGCTTTCAGTGAAATTAAAATATGACCCGTGAAATAAATGTGAGAGGTCCACGAGATGTATTCTATTAAAAGTTGTTTGAAATTGAATAAATTACAATGCACTTAAAATTTTTAATTTATACCATTTAGTATTTAAATCTTAAATACTAAATAAACAAAGAATTGTATAATTTTTTTGTTTATTTGGTAAACAACATTTTTTAAATTACTAAATATATTTTTGTTTAATACTGAATAAACAAAAAAGTTTACAGTTTTTTAAAACTTATTTGGTATTTAAGTCTTAAATACTAAATAAAAAATTTTATGAATTTATAAAATAAATAATTACAATTTACATCTTCAGAGAAAATATGAAATAGTTACATATATATTTAACTTTTTTTTTATTAACATCAAGTAAAAGAGGTAATAATGAAGTAAATATTAGAACTATCTGTAATTTTTTTTGTATTAATTTTAAAAAAATACGCTAAAATATAGTACAATTAAGGTCTCCTGCTTTTTTATGCGGTTCTTGAGAAGGTAATAAAATTCTCTACTGAAAAAGCTGAAAACTTTTCTGTCTTGATTTAAAGGAATGGTTTTTCCACAAGTCTTTTTTTTTCCAGGAAGCGTAAAATAAAATGCAAAACGACAATAATAATTTTTAAAAAAATCTTAGGCAGCACATTTTTTCCATCAGACCAACTCGGAGTCGAGTTGTAAAATTGCTCAGTTCCTGTTTTGCATGCGCTTCCCTCACCACGGCAACGGAGCCGTCACCTGACGGATGCTGGTTGGGGACTGCAGACGGTCTCAGTCGGCCAACATCCCCTGACTATAAACTGACATCTTGCACCATGAACACTTTCTTCTGCTGCATCAGCTCTGCGGAGAAACAGGGAACGCTCCTTCTGACAGCATGGGTTGAATGGTAACAAGTGAGACTTCAACACTGCTGTTTGTCCTCCATGACAGAACCTGAGGATGACAGGCCAGGTGCCAGAGAGAGACCGGTCGCCCCACAACCTGTCAGTGAGGACAACCTTGGAGGAAGAGATCGAGAGGGCTGAAAGTAAACTTAGCAGGTAAGAAAAAGTCAGTTTTATAAAAGCAGTGCATGAAACGAATAATAACGAGAGGTTTTCTTTCCCTCTTTGTTGTTTTTGTCCCAGGGTGCCATCGGTCTGCGATGACACGTCATCAGAGCTACAGCGAGTCGCCGCTCTTGACCCTGACGGACGCAGCTCTGCGAATTCTTTTCAGAGGAATGGGGCCATTTCAAGGTGAAACTGTAGCGTTGCAGCAATTACATTTTAGCATTTTTACCAGAGTTTCTGAATTGTTAGATATGAATACCAGCAGCATTGTTTGGCACTTACATCGATATGCCTGACAAATGAGTCAAATTATTGTGATACAGCCACAATTTATCAAACATTTCTCTATCAGTGATTATTTGTTGCTGCACTCTGCAAATCCATTTAATTTCTTGTGTGATTCTCTTGGATAAGGTTTCACACAAATGGCAATTTCTGTGTTATTTTCATGATTTCCATTTGATATAAGCAAATGTAAAGCTCAACTGGGATTTTATGCTTTGCACATGTCTTAGACTGGTGAAACTGGTGGTGAGGCTGAGGGAATGGGCACACAGGAGCCTGGTGGAGGAGGAGGAGCGGCCAGACTCCTTCCTGGAACGCTTTCGCGGCCCTGAGCTGAGAGCGGCCCCCAGTCGCAACAGCATCACCCAACCAGATGCCAATGGCAACAATGCCAAAGGGATCTTAAGGTATTCCTGACTGGGTTAGGGTTGACGTTTCTAATTAGGTCAGAAGACACCCTGTTCTATCTGTTGTGTTGTTTTAAGATTTTAACTCAATTTTACTGCTTTGTAAAATGGTGTTCTGTTAGTCAATGCTACATTATAAAACAAAATAACTTTTCTGAGAGAAATTTCCATGGGGATTTAAGTAATGTATCATTTGCATGCTCTTCATACTTCCAGGAAGAGGTGGGAATTGTTCGTTGTCTCACCATCTGATGACGCCTACTACCGTTGGCTGTTTGTCATTGCGATTGCTGTCCTCTACAATTGGTTCCTTGTGATTGCAAGGTATTATAATTCCCACAGTCGATCACCTCCAGCTCTGCAGATGGATAATAAATGCAGTGATCTGTCCAATCCACCCCTTTGATTGGAGCACTAAATCATTTGAACCTTTTTATGTTCCCAGGGCATGCTTTGACAAACTGCAGGTGAGCATTTACATCTGTTGGCTGGTGTTGGACTACATCTCTGATACTGTGTACATACTGGACAGTTTTGTGCGTCTACGGACAGGTAATCCATTAAAAAACATGCCTTCTTACAGCCTAAAGCTTTGGGATATAACTTTTCTTTCTTTTCTTTTTTTTCACATATTTGTTAAAGCTGTCTAACTGAATTTCCTCTCCGTCTATTTTGTTTAAGGTTTTCTGGAACAAGGCCTCCTGGTGAAGGACCACGCCAAGCTAAGAGACAGCTACATCCGAACGTTGCAGTTCAAGCTGGACGTGGTGTCCATCCTGCCCACCGATCTAGTGTACATTTACACTGGCATCCACACTCCTCAGCTCCGATTCAATCGCTTGCTGCGCTTCCCTCGCATGTTTGAATTCTTTGACCGGACAGAAACACGCACCAACTACCCCAACATCTTCCGGATCTGCAACTTGGTGCTCTACATCCTGGTCATCATTCACTGGAATGCCTGCATCTACTACGCCATATCCAAGTCCTTGGGGTTTGGTTCAGATACGTGGGTCTTTCCAAACATCTCCAAACCGGAATACTCGTCCTTAACAAGAAGCTACGTCTACTGTTTGTACTGGTCAACCCTCACTCTTACCACCATTGGAGAAATGCCTGCACCCGTGCGAGATGAGGAGTACTTGTTTGTGGTCTTCGACTTCCTTGTTGGAGTGCTGATCTTTGCAACCATCGTAGGAAATGTAGGCTCCATGATAGCCAACATGAACGCCACCCGGGCCGAGTTTCAGGCTCGAATCGACGCCATCAAACACTACATGCACTTCCGCAAGGTCAGCAGAGAACTGGAGACGCGCGTCATCAAGTGGTTCGACTATCTGTGGACCAACCAAAAAGCTGTAGACGAGCAGGAGGTGCTGAAGAACCTACCCAACAAACTGCGCGCTGAGATCGCCATCAACGTACACCTTGAGACTCTAAAGAAAGTACGCATTTTTCAAGATTGTGAGGCCGGACTGCTCGTGGAGCTTGTGCTGAAACTACGTCCGCAGGTTTTTAGTCCCGGAGACTACATCTGCAGGAAAGGAGATATTGGCAAGGAGATGTATATCATTAAAGAGGGGAAGCTGGCAGTAGTAGCTGACGATGGGGTCACGCAGTACGCTCTCCTCACTGCTGGAAGCTGCTTTGGGGAGATCAGCATTTTGAACATAAGGGGTAGTAAAATGGGGAATCGCCGCACAGCCAACATCCGAAGCTTGGGATACTCTGACCTCTTCTGCCTCTCCAAGGACGACCTAATGGAGGCAGTGACCGAGTATCCAGACGCTAAAACAGTGCTAGAGGATAGGGGTAGGGAGATTCTTAAGAAGGAAGGGCTTCTTGACGAGAATGCGGAGAAGGGCGGGCTACAGAAGGAGGACACAGATGAGAAGGTGGAGAGACTGGAGTCCTCTCTGGACACCCTACAGACTCGTTTTGCCCGTCTGCTGACTGAGTACACAGACACTCAGCAGCGGCTAAAGCAGCGAATCACTCTGCTGGAGCGGCACCTGAACCAAACTGACTGCGGCGCAGAGGCAAACAATGACATGGATGCCAGCATACAAATAGCAAGTGGAAGTACAAATGGGTCACCGCATAAAAACGATGTTCAGACTCAGGACAGAAACAGCAAAACATTACAACACTGACACTTTCAACATCAAACTTCAACCATTCATTCACCCACTTACTGAATGAATCACAGAGGATGGAGCCTGTCTCCAGGGGTCAATGGCTTGAGGGTGGAGTACATCCTGGACAGGTCACCAGTCCATCACAGGGCAGCATAGAGACACACCGGGTAAATAGACATGCATGTACACACAGCTGGATAATTTAAAGTGGCCAATTAAGCTAAAATGCATGTTCCTGCTCTGCTGGAGGCAGACATCTTCACACATTATTGCCCCTCTATTGTTTTCCTGCAGTTTATAAGTTAAATATCTGCATTTTAATCAACATGAAAACAAAATACACATATACCAGAACCCAGCTAACTTGGAGTTGTCGTATAAATGAACGGCCAAGAGCTGAATGTATGTGCAAAGGCCGACTTCAAGTTTCTGACCCAAGTTCTGATCAAGTTTCAAGCTAAATAAATCTTTCAGAGTATATAAACAACAAGTACAAGATACTCTGGGATTTTTCTATATCTTTCTTTGGATCACCTGTGAGTGTCATGTTTGTTTGCATCAACAGAGACATTCAGTTCCCTCTACATGTCATCTATTATGCTTTGGTACTCTTCAAATGAACTCTCGCTGCTGCTCCAGGGAACCAAAGGTCTCAGGAGATAATGCGTGGGGATTAGTTGTCACACACACAAACAATTAGTTTCCAGTGCCCCCCTTTCTAAGGTACTATATAGAGGTACTTTTTCATATTTACAATTACAATCACAAAATGCCCTTTTAAAAGAAGTTTACACCACAGACCAACACAAAGGGAAGGAAATTCTTTACAATGACGATCTGAAAAGTGTATTTTTATTCACACCCCTTTACCCTGGTACCCCAAAATAAGTACTAGTCACTTTAGAAGGTACCCAAATAGTAAATAAAATCCATGTGTATAAACTTACCCTTTCAACTGTGAAACAGGGTGGGGGAAGCGTTATGCTGTTGAAATACTAATCTTTAACAGAGATTAGGAGATTGATCAGAGTTGGGGTTAAATATTGATAATACATTTTTTTTTATTTCTTGCAAATTTACAAAGTTAGTCTATCGCATAAAACCCCAATAAAATACACTGATGTTTGGGATTGTAACATTTAAAAAAGGTTTATTAATACCTTTGCACTGTAAATCTGTATCAATGTATTTGACTGTTTCCTAAATGTTACATTTACAAAGTTTGTGCCATGAAAACTTTTTGCTGAAAAAACAGATTTCCTTTAAAAAAAAAAAAAGGGATTAGTGTTCAGGCGCTCAATATTGATTATTTGCAAAAGCTTTGTGTTCTCCCTTCTAACCCAACAAAAATGAGCAAGGTCCCGTACTGACTTCCACCCGTTTATTTGAGGAAAGTTACACTTTGAAGTAAAAGGCCGGGGATTTTCCAGTTTTTCAGCCTTTGCATTCCTGGACACACATGAGCAGTGTTGATAAGAGGAGCTGGAACAATGCCTCACAGCAGCAGAGCTGAAGGGAGCTGGGAACAATAAAGAGGCAGGAGTTGTCGAATTCATATCCTGCCAGAAAGGCACTGATGATATCAAGCATCTTGAATCAATCTTCACTCAGCTCCAGAATGGTAAAAAAAAAAAAGGGTTTCTAAATTTTTAAATATTTGCATCATAGGAAGTCAATCAACAGACATTTAAGATGAAAAACTATGATGATAATAACAATGTAGAGCAACGTGCAAATGATTTTTTGTTCATTGTTTGCTTTCCTTGCATGTCTCTCCACCACTGTTCAACACTTGTTGTTTTTATGAATAAACTTTAAATGTTCTGTTTTTGCAGTAAGGTTGTCAAGATGCTTCAAAGGGTTCGGCGTGACGTTTCAGAGGAAACTAAATAATGTTTTTATGCGGCTCCACAGCAACCTAGGAGGGGTTAGGATGAAATAAAAAATAAACAATCCGTTCTTTCTGTTTAGTAGAGCTGTAAACGTCATTCCAACAGCCTGCAGCCTGAATGTTTTTGTGAATTACCAGGTTTTCCAGCTTGGAGTATGATAGATAGATAGATTTATTATTATGACTTATTTTGATTACATTTATTTTGTTGGGGGAAGGCTGTGTTTTTTTGGTATTATAGCACAGACTGCCTTGTGCACATATTTTAATAAACAATTTGTCCCAATTTACTATAAGTTCATATCAGCTATTTCTACATTAAAATACTCAAATTTCTCCTAAATTGAGGTGGTTCGCCCAGGACGCCAAACAGGCTGGGGCAGTATCTGGTGAGAACCTCAAGTGTCCTTTCATCAATGTGTTAAAAGTTGCTGCAGCAACAACTGCAGTAATTATTAAAATTACACAATTCAATTTTTATTTCTAAAAAAAAAGAAAAAGAAAAAAAAGGTGCTTATGGTGCTACTTTAAAGTACCATTAAGGAATTTCATACCTGATTTTATTCCCATTCAGGAACTAAATTCTGTTTTCCTGGTTCTCTGCGTTTTCCTCGCTCCATAGCTAGTTTCTGAATTATAGATGCATGTGGCCGAACGACCCAACTTTTTGGCTGTGAGAGCACATCAGTTCATCTTTAAATTCCTCTTTAAAGATGAACATGCTTGGTGTGTGGCAGCATTCACACCAAGCATTCGTTTGGTGTGAATGCTGCAATACTTCCAGAAACCACTAGGTGGCGATTGAATTTAAAATGCTTTGACACCTTGGGGCAATCCACAGAAAAAAAAGCTATTAAAGTCATGTAAAGCTTCATCTGCACACCAATATTTCTTGAGTATTGTTATAAGGAGGTGAAGTAGCAGCAGCGGAACCAGTACCAGTTTAACTGCAAATGCACACAGGCAAACCAAACTGATGCACCATAAGTAAAAGGGAAAAAGCAAACCATACTCCTTTCAGATTAATTTAAGCCTCCGGGAAGATTTTTTTTAAAAATAGACATAGATCCCCTTATTAGATTGTAGCAACTCTTACTGAGTTTATCATGAAAGTCTCATTCATCATCCAGACTGTTCTAGTTAACTGTGATTTTGGCATTATTTAATGCGCACACACATGCTAAAGTGTGTCCTGAAAACACTTAGCGATCCCCTTGCAGTCGCCTCCAGCATGGGTATCAGTTTCCTTTTGAGAGAGCAGAACAGCTGCTCAGCTAAACCTGCATCCTCAAGCAATGTCTAACCACAGGCCAATTAAAACATACATATAAAGCTAGGGCAGTGTGGATAGCTGTTTGGCCAAATTTTACTTTATAATTTTTTTTTATGCAACCAAGAAATTATTTCAAAACAAAGAAAGAAGCTTATCTTGCGTTTTCCAGGTAATCCGCAGCAAAACTTTTGAGTAAATGTATGTTATCAGCATTCGGTGCTTTTAAATAGCTGCTTTATCTGCCCCAACACTTCTGTGACCCACTTGGCAGGTGCAGCGTATCACATGTACCAGACAACTGGTCCGGGGTGCTTAGTGGACTCTGAATGGATACCATACTAAACACACATACTGCAGTTTAAAAAAAAAAAAAAAAAAAAAAAAATCTGAATACATACAAAAAACACAACACAAAATTAGGTTTCTAAATATAACTATATTTTTTGTGACCATTTAAAAACCGCAGTTGAAAAATCAAATAGTGTCACTGGGACACACTGCACTGACTATATAAATCCAATGGATACAACAAAGTGAGAAAAGAAAGGCCTTCATGGTAAACACATGTTTTTAGTTCATGTGTCAACTAAGCATAAATATTTCATCAGTGTACCACTGTTCAAGATACTTCTGATCCCTGTAGAAATTAGACAAAAAAACAGAACAAAACTAAGATTCTGCCAGAATGACTGCTGATTGAATGTAAAGATAGAGCAGAAATGATGTCGGGCTGTTTACATCTATAATAGCTTTCGAGGCTGCATCATGCTATCTGCGCTCTGTGCATTGATTGGTTGAGAGGATCCGCTGGGAATTAAGTGTGGGCTAACGCATCCGCATGTGCAGGCTGTGCTTGGGCCCGTCCACACGCTCCAACTTCTCAAAGTGTTTCCTCGCGTTTCGGATGTTGATGAGCGTCGCTGCAGACGCTGAAAAACAAACAAAAGAAGAAGAAAAATTTTAAAAAAGGTAGGGATTATAAGTGGTATGAATATTGCACTGTAACCACCAACATTCCTGTACTTACGAATAGATGGGTCTGACATGATCACCATGACGTAAGTGTTGGAGGTGAAGACGTCGATAAAGGCCGCAAAGTTGGAGTTTCTAACTTCCATGCTTTGGAAAGAAGCTGCCAGTTTACTGAAATAAGACAGATGAAACAATTAAACACGAGAAAAATCGACAGACAACGTTCAGCACGCACGACGTGAACTCACCTACAGCTGAGCTTGAACTGTTTGATGATGTTACTGATCTTCTCAAACCTGTGAGCGTCACGCTGCTCTTTGCACTGATAGTGGGAGATTACCTACATGGACAAACCGCACACGTACATCGACATGCTTTAAATTCCCTGATCCAAATCTAGGCTACTGAAAATATACACAATTGTACCAAGCATTTTTAGTCGTGTTTCCAGTGCAAATTTTACAGTAAACTTGAATTAAGACAATTTAAAAGTAACTTATCAGCAATATCCAGGAGCTTGTTTTAAGTAAATAATTCCTTAACATTGGTGAAAAAGTACTTCTTCCATAGGCAGATTATGTTACTTATAATATGGGAAAATTGTCTTGTAATAAGTAAATTTATCTTGACTTATTTCAAGTGTAATAAGATATTTGTACTACAAATAAGACTAATAAGGCTTGGTAAGATTTTGTGTTTTTGCAGTGAGACAGAAGTGAAAGGTCGCTCTCACCAGGAATGTGGCTCTCTCAAACAGAAGAACTTCATCTGCTTCTATGATCTGTGCAAAATTTCTCAGGTTCGTCTCCAGCTGCTGGACGTTTGGGATGAGTTGATAAACTATGCTGGACCAGGCCTGCCGAGACATTTTAACAAGCTTCTTACAAAGGCGATTTCATCAGTTAATATAATGGGGGGAAAAAGCATTCAATCAAGTCAACTCACCTTGTACAATGTTTCATCCCAGATTGATGTCCTGAAGCACGTGCAAGCCAAAGGTCTAGACAGCCGCTTCAGGTCTTCTTCACGCTCCTTAAAGATCTGTAAAAGCAAAAAGGAAGTTGCATCACAAACACCAAGGAACCGAGCAGAAACATAAAAGACTGCAAATGACACCATCCCCGTGGTGACACATGGGGGTGGTGGCATCATGCTGTGGGAATACTTCTCTTTAACACTTCGAAAACCTCAGTGACTCAATCTTAAGTTTCAGAAACCACATTAATAATTAAAATAATAATATTTTGCCATTGCCAGAATGCTGTTCATCTGTTTCTTTTTGTGTATCTGCTCTGCCTTCTCAAACCCTCAGATGGATGAACGGTTCTAGAGGTTTCTTCCTGGTAAAGGGGAGTTTATTATCTTTACTTAGAAACTTTTAACTATTTAGAATAATTAACTGAGCTTAATGCACTGTTTGATAATGAGGCTCAATGAGAACATGTTACTAAACTGAAATAATTTTTTGTAACATGCCTTCAGAAGACTGAATTGGTTTTAAGGTTCTCTTAATATACATAACATTTATCAGTTTTCATGAAGACTGATAAATAAAACGTAAAATATTGTCACATCTATTCAGCAGCTTAATGTTATTGTCGCTTATAGATTATGATAATATTTCAATTGCACATTGTGTTTTATTATTTTATTGCTGTTAAGATTGTTAATATTCATGGAAAGTACTAATATGTTCTGAGATTTTTTAAAAATTATTATTCCAGATTTTAATCATTATTTATGTTTATTATGTACAGTCTTAAATGTATGTTTTCTTTTTTTAACAAATGATATTTCACTGCACTAATTAAATTTTAGTTCTCAGTTTCTCATTCTCTAGATTTGATCAACTTATCTCACTTTTAATTTGTCATTCTTTATTACCACAAACCACCTGTTTTATTTGTCTGTTTATGTCACTTCAATATTTCTGCTCTTCCAAGTAAATGGTTTTTAACCTCAGTAAAGCATGTTTTTACACTTGACTG